CACACCTCAGTCTCAAAATAAAGAAGAGAAAGCTGTGTTCAATCTTTAAAAAACAAAAAGGAAAAAGAAAATACAATATACAGTTCAATAAATAGAAAAAAACACAGTTATAAAATCATGTGGTCTTTTGTCCTTAATTACAAGAGGGAAAAGATGGGGGGACGGTGGGGAGGCCAAAAGGACAGCAGCTGGGGCTTAGACACAGAGAGGGGCAAGCTAGATGGAGAGGAAACGGAAAGGGGGAGCAAGGTGAAGGGGCGGAGCAGGGAGACAGGAGGAGAGGGAGAGGCAGAGCCAGAAAATGCCCAGAGGCCAGCGCGCTTTCCTTTCCAAATTTGGGGTGGGGAGTCCCTGGCCCCCTGTGCTGCCTCCAGGTCTGGAGGACACCAGGTCTGGAGGACAGTGTGAGCGTGGCTCAGTTCCTGAGTTGTATGTCCAGTGACTAGCAGGTAAGGGGAGGAGAAGCAACGACCCCTCCTCCCCCTAGTCCATCCTGGGACCCCAGTACCCATAGGAATGGGAGTCCTGGCCGGATGGGGGTTGAGGTATGTGGCCGAGGCCTGAGGCCTCTTTAAATCCTTCAGTGGGGATGAGCCATTGGCCCTGGCTGGATACCCTGGAGGGGGCTCCTGAGGCAGAGAGAGAGGGTACAGAGGAGATTTAGATGCTTTAACACAAGTCCCCTGGCTACCCAGGTAGGGTGTGTGTGTGTGTGGGGGGGGTCTGCTACATTGATTGAGAGCCAGTTTCTGGAAAGTCCTGCCTCCCAGTTCCCTGGAGCCCAAGCCAGGCCTGTGAGTTTGGGGAGGGGGAGCTTGCTATTGCTTTTGGGGTACCCAAGTGGGGCCATACCAGCTACCCCCCTTCTAGGCCCCTGGTGGTGGTATGGCTTCTGATCCTTGCATCTCGCACACTCGCTCGCATAATCCTAGGCACGCACGTGGCAGGAGGCCACCCCCCATTCCCACGTCCAGCCAGGCGGGGGGATGGCAGGCAAGACCACCTAGTTCCAGCTGGGCTCCTTCCCTGACTCAATACTGAGATGCCACTGGACCTCCCGTCCAGGTGCCCGATGCAGAGTGGGTGGCACAGAAGCAGGAGCCAAGGGAGACCCTGCCCACCACCTGCCAGACGCCCCTCAGCCGAAACGCTCCCGCACCAACAGCATGAGCTTCTTCTTGCCCTTGTAAGTTTGTTTGAGGGTCTCCAAGAACTGGGTGAACTGAAGGTGCCCGTCAGGTGCCAGCAGGAAGGTCTCCCGGGCCTTGCCCAGGAACTCGATGAAGTCACCATAGTGTCGTGGGCTGATGTGCGTGAGGCGGGAGTGGCTGGTGTTGATGTAGGCTGCCACCGCAGCGTCCAGGAGCTGGCAGAGAGGCGCCCGGTCAGTGCCCAGTGGCTTGGCTGCCCGGCGAGCCCCCAGGGGACCCAGGCCGGGCGCTGAGAGGGTCCAGCGGCGGAGGATGTCAGACAGCATCGGGGCACAGTGGATGCTCCGGATGATGAGCGGGACAATGGCTGAAAGCTCGTGCCGGCCCAGGGAGTGGCTGAGGGAGCAGGCCCAGAGGACATCATTGACAGCGGGGTGGCTGTCCTGGTTAAAGGCGATGCTGAGCTGTGCCAGGGCCAGCGTGGCTAGCTTGTAGGCCCGCAGAGGCAGGCCGCGGTGCTCCATGTAGCGGGCCACGGTGAAGAGGTGGGCATGGCCCAGGCCGCCGGCCGCTGCGTCCAGCACAATCTGGTAGGCCGCCTCGAAGGCTGCGTGGTTCTTCTCACACAGGGTGAGGGCGGGCAGGGCACAGTTCTGCGGGTCTTTCATGGCGCACTGCAAGGCCAGGGCGCGGGCGCAGGCCCAGAGCTCCTCCCGCCGGGGTGCATCCAGCTGCAGCCGCATTAGCGTGGCGTGGGTGGTGCCCGTCACTGCCACGATGGTGGCCGCCTCCACCGGCGTGAATAAGGAGAACCAGTTCTGCATGATGTTCATCAGAGCTTGCGGACCTGGGGAAGGCGAGATGGTGAAACGAGTCAGGAAGAGGGGCCGGAATGCGGACGTGTGTCCACGGGGTCACCCCAATATCTCCATCCCCAGCAGCAGGGCTGGAGACACATTCCCTACGTTCACCCCTGCTGTAGCCTCCCCCTCCCAAAAGAACAGGGCCCAGCAGGCCTGGCTGGGACTGTGTACTGGGGGGCTTTGGTGCCAATGGCCCTCTCCAAGCCATTTAGCCAGGCCAGCCTCCGGGCTTCTGTCCAGCACAGTTCTTCCGCCCAACATTCCCTCCGGGCTTAGCTCTGAGCGCAGGCTCGATCGAGAGGAAAGTCTCTCCTTCCCTCTTGTGCCCAACGGGTTCTATGAAGAGATGGGTGGCAGGTCCCCTTGGGGACTCTCACCAATCTCCGTGGCACAGCTGACCAGCCAGCGCACCATCTCCCTTCGCCGCCAGGTCATGGTGCTCAGGGTCATCCGCATCACCTGCAGGGGTGAAACGGGACAGAAAGAGGTCACCCAAAACTTCAGGCTGGCTGAGGGAGAGAGGTTGGGATCCTTAGGGGCCCAGGAAGACAGAAGTTAGGGGCTGACTCAGTGAGCCATACAGTCTGGGCAAATGGCTTCACCTCTTGGGGTCTCAGTTTACTCATCTGTAAAGTGGGGATAAAAATCTTATCTACTGCATAGGGTTGTGAGAAGCGAGATTATGTAGTAATGCTCTTTGCACAGTGCCTGTTGCCTCAAAGCGCTCGGCTAACGTCAGCCAGTACTATCACTGCTATTGCTGTTGTTCTGCGGAGGGCCCCATGCATCCTACTCCGGACAACAAGCCGACCCATTCCTTCTCTCCAGAAAGTTCCATGCTTCATGTCCACACTTCCCCCGTGACTCCCAACAGAGCACCTGCTGCACAGGTCCCACCTTCTTCAGCTCTCACCCCCAATAAGCACCTTCCTTGCTGGCCTCTCCCCTCAGGTCCATCCCCAGTCCTATCTGGTGGGCTCTGCCTTCTGGAAGCTCCTAAGTAGAGGGTCTCCTGTCTAGAGCTCCACCCTTGTCCTGCCCCCTCCACATCCCCCAATGACTCCAGTCCCCTCAGGAAATTGTTTTTGGCTAATTCTGCCCCTGAGGGCCCCTTGCTTTCTAGTTCTACCTGGGAAGACCCCACCCCACCCTGCAGGCCTGCCCCAGGCTGTACCTTATTCCCTTATTTACTAGGTCACCTTCTAAGGCCCTGCCTACCTCGGCATCACACAGCCTGCAGCTGGCTCCTCACCTACAGGCTACACCCAAGCATGCTGGCCTCTGCCTCACCACAGCCAGATGGCCTGGCCCCTGGGGGTGGCCGGACACTCAGCCACAGGCCCCATGACTGTCAACCACAGACCTCACCCCAGAGGCAGCGCCTCAGCTTCAAGACCTTCCTCCAAACCCAGACCCTCAATGGTGACTTCTAGGCTGGGTTCCCCTGAAGGCCCCACCTCTTATTGGCAGGCTTTGCTGCCCCCCCCAACCCCCCCACCTCAGCCCCACCCACCCATGGTCCTTAACCTTAAGCACACCAGCCCCAGACCTCATTTCCAAGGCCAGAACCCCTAGCTCTGCTCCCTCTGTGGCCCACCCTTCTCACCAGC